TGATCCACCCGCCTCGGCCTCCCAAAGTGCTGGGATTACAGGCATGAGCCACCGCACCCGGCCTCAAACTGTGACCTTTCTAAGCCTCACCTACACAATGAGAATCGCCTGCCCGATGGGACTGTCAGGAGGGGCACCTGAGCGATTGCTGCTGCAGTGAAATGCTCCTCAAGGAGAGAAGCTCATTTTACCAAACAGCTGGAAAACTCCAGCTTGGAGCTGTTTTCTGGGGGCTTTCAATCAGATTAGGAATGTTAAAAGGTGTTTTTTCCTCTCTCTTGTCATTCAGTTAAAAAAAAATGATTTGGGGGTAAAAGGACACAGAGAAATTACCAATTTCTCTCCACAAAGAAAAGTGTCATTGCCTTCCATGGAGCCCAGGGGACGGGGGGAGGCATGAATCACAACAGACCATAAGGAATCCTCCAAAAAGGTGAGGCCCCCAGAGTCCACCATCCTCTTCAAAAAGAGACCATGAGGGCGTCCATTCTGTGTCCTGTTACTAATGGGGACACCTTGGGGACTTTCCTATTCATCTCCAGCTGTGGAGATGAACAAAACCAAAACATAGTGCCCCGCAGAGTTCATTTAATTAAAAAGGAAACAAGCTTTGTATGCATTAATACCATCCTAATTTATTGTATTACAAATCCAGTTTGGGCCGGCCTCGGTGGCTCATGCCTGTAATCTCAGCATATTGGGAGGCCGAGGCGGGCAGATTGCCTGAGGTCAGGAGTTCAAGACCAGTCTGCCCAACATGGTGAAACCCCATCTCTACTAAAAATACAAAAAAATTAACCGGGCATGGTAACATGTGCCTGTAGTCCCAGCTACTCAGAGGCTGAGGTAGGGGAATTGCTTGAACCGGGGAGGTGGAGGTTGTAGTGAGCCAAGATCGCGCCACTGCACTCCAGCCTGGGCAACAGAACAAGACTTTGTCTAAAAAAAAAAAAATCCAATATGTTCTCACAAGGGGCTTTGGCGGTAAGAAGAAGAAAGTGGGTGGGGCGGGGCGGGGAGGCCTCTAAGCCTGCTGAATCCTCTCCCACCTCGCTCCAGATAACTTTTAGAGGCATGCTGGGCTTGCTTGAGAAGGGTATCAGGTTCCTTGGGTTTTCGGCAGCTGGGGGTGTCTCGAGTGTCCTCATCTGGAAAGTCTGCTTGTAGCATTGGCAGGCACTGTAGCATCTGCGATAATGAGCTCTGGGCACCACGATTCGAGGGAGCCCGTCCTGGACATTCCCAGCAGATGGTTACATCTGTTTCACTCCACAGTCCCCATGGAGGACGGCGCTGCCCTCCTAGGGAAACCCAGTGCCCTCAGCCCGACGGAGGCTACTCCCTGATGAAGTGAGACGAGCTCAGCAGGCACCCGTCCCAGGTTTAAATGCTGGCTATGCTGTGCATCAGCTATGTGACCCTGGGAAAGTCACTTCATCTCTGTGAGACTCATTCTCCTCATCTATAAAATATAGATAATTACACGTGCAAATGACTTGGCACTGGGAGCCTGGCACATAAAAAGCACTCAGTAAATACTAGCCAACCAGATTATTGCAGGAGAGAAAGGGACATGGGTTGATAGAGCAAATCTGTCAGGGTAATTGTCCCCAAGGCTATGTCTCCAATAGAGCATAATTAATTATAATTATTTTTTGAGACAGAGTATCACTTTGTCACCCAAACTGGAGTGCAGTGGCGTGATCTCAGCTTCACTGCAGCCTCCGTCTCCTGGGGTCAAGCGATTCTCCTGCCTCAGCCTCCCTAGTAGTTGGGATCACAGGCATGCGCCACCACACCTGGCTAATTTTTGTATTTTTAGTTGAGATGGGTTTTGCCATATTGGCTAGGCTGGTCTCACACTTCTGACCTCAAGTGATTCACCCATCTTGGCCTCCCAAAGTGGTGGGATTACAGGCGTGAGCTACCATGCCCAGCCCAATAGAGCATAATTATGTTTTTCTTTGGGATGGTCTTAATTTTCGAATATTGAGAAAAGCACAGAGAAGCAAATGACAAGCACACACAGCTCTGTCACCTGGAGACAACGGTGATTAACTTGTCACGTCCTTCCTTCTAGTTCTAGTAGATGTTCTTTGGTGTCTGGGCATTCATGGGTTAGGTATTCATTGTAGTCTTCACTGTCTTATTTGTAGCTCTCTGTTTGGAGAAGGCTTTCCAGTTATTTGAAAGGACTTGGGTGTTGTGATCTAAGCTGTTTCTGCTTTAATGGACACCCCACGCCCAGTAATGCTGTCATTCTTGCAGACTCATTAGAGGTACAGCTCTGATGGTCTTGGACAAGATCTAGGAGAATTCTCTGGCTTACCAGGCAGAGATGCTTGTTCTCTTCCCTTGCTTTCTCCCAAAGAATCTCTCTCTCTCTCTGTTTTGAGCCACCTAAAGCTGGGGGTGGAGTGACACAGGCACCCCTGTAGCCACCAGCACTGTGAGTGTGCTGGGCCCGACCGGAAGCCAGCACAGCATTGGGTCTTACCCAAGCCCTGCTGTAACCACTCCCTGGCAACTGCCTATGTTCACTCAAGGCCGTGGGGTTCCGCAATTAGCAGGAACCAAAACCAGCCAGGCCTGGTTTTGTCCTTCTCTGCAGGGCGGTGAGCTCCCCCAGGCCCTGGGTGAATCCAGAAGAGCCGTCTGGGAGTCAGTGACTATAGCCAAAAACCTCAGATGTCCACCTGGTGTTCTACTGTATTGCAGCTGAGCTGGCACAAAAATGACAAGACACAGTCCTTTCCACTCTTCTGTCCCCTTTCCTTCTGGTTCTTTCACTCATTAATTTTACAAGAAGGAGAATATGTCCAACACATTGTTTCATTACCTAGTATAGTTCCTTTAATGACACATCACAGACATCTTTTAACGTCATCATTACATACTTCTATAACCATAATTTAAAACATCTATACAGGATTTCATTGAACAGTAACCCCAGTCCCTGCTTCCTGAACACTGAGGTGCTCAATCACTTACATACATTACCCCTCTGAGGTCTCTGGGAGGTAGGTATGCCATCTTATAGATGGGGAAACTGAGGCTGAGACATGCAAAGCCATGGCCCAAGGTCACACAGCTGGTCAGAGGCAGGATCAGGATTCAAGCCTGGGTGTGTTTACCACCAAAGCCAAAGGACTTCCATTGCGGAGGAAGGCTGGCTGCCCCCAGAGGAGGTCACAGGGTGCAGGGGGAGGCCTTCTCCTGTAGCTCTGTGAACACTGTGAGTCTGCTCAGGCAAGAATCTGCCCCGAAAACAGATACCCAAATGGCCAGTAAGACATGAAAAGGCAGTCAACCACGCTAGTGGTCAAGACGACGTAAATTAAAACCACAGGGGATACCACTGCACCCCCACAAGAATGGCTAAAAGGAAAAAGGCAATACAAAGTATTAGAGATGCTCACATACCACCGATACAAGTGTAGCTTGGTAGAACCACTTTGGAAAACTGCTTGGTAGTATCTATTCAAGTTGAACATGTGTCTATTTTACTGCCCCAGAAATGCACATTTGTGTACCCCAAAGTTCATGTTTGTGGCATTAAAATGTTCATGGCAGCACCATTTATGGTCCCAAATTGGAAACTGCTCAGATGTCCATTAGCAGTAGGGTTGGGTAAATACTCATTGCGTGAATATACTAGACAGCAGAGAGAATGAACTATTGTTAAATGCGACAATATGAACGAATCTCACAATATGTTGTTGAGTGAAAGAAGGTAGGCTTAAAAGACACATGGTGTATGATTCTATTATATGAAGTCCAAGAACAGGCAATAGTAAGATGTGGCGCTAGAAGTCAGGATAGTTGGCTGTTGTTCCTTGATCTGGGTGCTGCTTACATGGGTGCATTCATTTCCTGGAAGTTCATCAAGCTATAGGTTTGTGTATGTTTGTTTGAAGCCTATACTTTTTTGAGTGTAGGTAATGCTTCAATCAAAATTTATATTAGGCTGGGCAGGGTGGCTCACACCTGTAATCCCAGCCCTTTGGGAGGCCAAGACAGACAGATCAGTTGAGCCCAGGAGTTCAACACCAGCCTGGTCAATATGGTGAAACCCCGTCTCTACTAAAAATATACAAAATTAGCCAGGTATGGTGGCAGACACCTGTAATCCCAACTATTCAGGAGGCTGAGGCAAGAGGATTGCTTGAACCTGGGAGGTGGAGGTTGCAGTGAGCTGAGATTGCACCATTGTACTCCAGCCTGGGCAACAAGAGCAAAAC